AAACATAAAACATATAAACACTAGTACCTAAGGCGCCGGCCTAAACCAGCGCCTTAGGTCCTCCTGTACCGGGCGGCGCGGCTGCCTCTGTCTCAGGCGTTCAGCTTCCTCCTTCTTTTTCAAGACGGACTCGGCGAACGCCTGGACGAGCCTCCACGCCTCCCGGCTTCCCAACATCAGGTCCACCATGGACCCGACTCGAAACGTGGACCCTAGTCGAGACTTCAAAAAGTCCCGTTCTTGGGCCCACGCCTCGCACCGGAAGAGGGTGTGCAAAACGCTATCAGCCTCTCCCGGGCGATCCGAACAGTGGTCGCACGTCGGCGCGGCTGCTTTACGAATACGGAGTAAGTACTCGTTAATGCAGCCATGGCCGGACATCACTTGGGTGAGACGATAAGTCATCTCACCGTGAGTCCGGTCCACCCACCTGTCCAGCCGATCGGGTCCTATGAGGGACCTGGTCCACTCGCCTCTCGTTTCCTCCGAGAGGCGAGTCCGCCACCGGAACATGGTCATCCGCCTGAGCGCTAGCCGGTCCTCGGGTTCGAGGGACCGGTTTCGCTCTCGGCGGAGCTCATGCCCGGCGGCGCGTTCCTCGGCGAGCAGGTCGGCGGGCGGCAGTGACGACAGGATACCCGCCGCCACTCCGGACACCGTTCGGTACGCCTAAACTGTCCGGATCGCCGCCCGCCTTTGCACCCTGAGCAGGGCCTCACGGTTTTTGGACGAATACTCAAGAATATCCGCCCAAACCGGGGACCCGTACAGGAGAACCGAGTGTACGACGCTGACTAAAAGTCTACGCCGCATCTCTCTCGGCCCTCCCAGATTGGGCATGAGTCCCGCCAAGCAATTCATGACTTTCTGGGCTCGCTGGGCCGCACGAGTAATGTGCGGCCCGAACTTAGACGTTTGTCTATGACAAGGCCCAGATAAGTCATGGAGTCCTTAAGCGGGATCTCCACCCCCCCGGGTCGAGCCTGCAACTACACTTTTCCCTGCGGCCCTGGAGTCTCCGAAACTCTTGGAGCGGTAACTGTATTTTTATGATGGTGTCCTTCCATGTTTAGTTTTACGGGTGTCCTTCCCTACGTTTTACCTACCGCCAGGTGATTTGTTTTCGGTGTTACCTTCACCTAGGTGGTCTCCTTACCAGGCTATAAGTTTCAAATTAAATATTCAGTGTAAAAAAAGCTTAAATAAAATAAATTGTATTTGATGATCGATGTGTCATTGATGCTGATGTGTACACCAAAACCTTTGAGACTAAGTTAACACTTTACCATATTTAGATGGGATATTTTCAAAATGGCGAAAAACTAAGAACAGTCAGAGAAAAAAAAAGGCATTAATAAAAAAATTACTCCTATTAAAATAATCATCTCTTAAAATAAATAATTAATAAAATACGGTCTTTTTAATAAGTGTCATATATCAATTAATACCAATCAAAAAAAAACTTCACCTCACTTTACTGGTTTTGTACTTTTTAAATTAAAATGTATTTTGTTTACAAATTTTATTTTTCAGATGTTATTTACTACGCGTTGCATATACCATTTGTGAGCTTAGTCAATTTAGATTTATCTGGTAACCTGATCAATAATAGTCTGTCATTATTGTCTTTATTGTGTTGGCCGGCTATAAAGAAAATAGAACTAATAGCCAATCCAGTCACTTCAAAGAAAAATGTGAAGTTTGAATTGTTAAAAGATATATTTAGATCGTACAACATAGATGTGGACTAGACTGAACAATGCTTTATATTGTTAATTGAAAATAAAATTGATAATTTAAATACTACATATGTCTAAATTAATTATTCAAATTTAAATTTGAATAATTTTTATTGATACTTAAAATTGTGAACGACACCGCCTTATGCTCTAACCTGGCGTTCACCCGTGTCTCTCTCGATATCAGCCGTCCAGTTATTAATATGACAACGGTTGTCATCGGGTATCTCCCCGCCCTTGACACCATAACAAGGCCGCCGTCTAATAAGTATACTGATAATGCGTTCTATTTCGTTTCGACAGTCGCCTTAACGGATAACTTACTTCGTCTTTATGTGTTTTCATTTATTGGAAAGTGTATTTTCACTAATATAAATAAATATTACGAGTATTAAAGTGTATTTTCATATTAACATCTTCATGTATATATAGACCTACTTGTGTCACCTTTATTATTTCTTTGGTACTAAATTACATAACATTAGCTATGTATAAGCATAGAGTATATAAGAGGTAAAATAGGTGTAGAGTCAATCGTTAATAAGATGAGAGAAAATAGACTTAGATGGTTTAGTCATATTATGAAGAGAGAGAAATCCGAAGCTGTAAGAACAGTTATTATAGATATGAATGTTGAAAGAATGAAAAGTAGAAGTAAACCAAAAAAGAGTTGGATGGATGTTATTGAATGATATATAAGGGCGTCTGATGTTAGTGTAGATTATATGGGAGATCGTGTGGGCAATACTTTTCCTGCACGAAGATGAACCGAATATGAGGACAATCATATCCTACGCTAGTAAGAAACTATCGAAAACACAGAAACGTTACGCCGCCGTAGAGCGAGAATGCTTAGCAATTATATGGGCCACTGATAAATTTCGGCCGTACTTACAGTATTCTCCTTTCGAATTATTTACGGATAATTCCGCGTTGAATTGGCTACACAGAGCAAAGGACGACAATTCAAAATTAACTAGGTGGGCGCTACAATTTTACAACGACACATGTAACCGGGAAGCACAACGAAGGACCGGCCATGTTGTCACGTTATCTGACCGCAGGGCCCCCCATTGACAAAGAGTTACTTGACGACAATTTAGTGGGAATACCGACGACGAAAACATCGGATAATACACTCTTGATAACATTTTTGCCATAACTGAAAAAAACGGCGTGTCAGAGAACCGGTCGTTTACGAGGGGGGGATACAAAAGTGGCAAAACAACGACCCGTTTCTTTCATCAATCATGAAACAATTGAGTAAGGAAAACGCCAACAAAAACGATAAATAGTCTTGCAAGAACAACAGCAAATATTTCATGTTAGACGTACTTATAAGCATTCAGTACGTAAAATCGTGTGATATTTGCGCGCATATTTAATTATGCGTCCGAATGATCCTTTAACTTCACGCAAACCAAAATAACCGTGATAGGTCATTAGTATCGACTTAATAGGTGAGAACCAGCCTTGTTTTCTTCCACTTCGTGGGGAATTCACCCTCCGAGAGGCAGCGGTTCGCGACGGTGCGTATCCAATCCGGGGCGAGGTCGTAGACCAACCCCCACACCCGGTTTGGAATTCCGTCGGGACGGGAGCTATGTTCCGGCCCCGCACATGCGCCACCGCGTCAGCTACCTCTTGGCTGGTGAATTCCACCACCGACACGTCGTCCCCAAACGCCATAAAATTTATTAATAATAATGTTTGTGTCTACTGCCCTTTCTAGCACTTCCACCTCCAGCTGACCGGAAGCCGGTGGATATTGTCTCGAGTATTTGCTACTACCACCAAGATTTACACCGACGGCGGTTCCAGGCGGTCTGCCCTTCGACGCACACCGCCGCGCCATCCTACTCGTCGGGGCCTACTGGGACGACGGCCCCACTGTGCCGCCGACGGCCGAGTATAGGTACGACGCTCCAGCGCCATCCATTTTCAGAGCTAGTTGCTTCTGAAATCGAAGACCGGGGAGGAACTGCCGTTAAGCATTGCCTCTCCCCGGCCACCATCGTTTATTAAAACAAACAACATACATCGAATTGTACATTATACTAACTTACATACTAACAGTTAGTGGGGAGCTCTACCTCCCCAATTTCAGCCATTCGGCCCACAATAAAACCTTAGGCTAAAGAAAATTAAAGAAATAAACAGTTTTTCATTTCTTCATCCGGCAATCCCGGGCAATGTGCCCTTCCTCATGGCAGGTGAAGCACTGAGCTGTCCTGTCGGGTCCGCAGTATTTTTCCATGTGCCCCATCTCTTGGCATCTGTTACACCTGGGTACAACTCCATTGGGGTCCATCACCTTGATCCGACACGTACCCCAGCCCACCCTGACCTTTTTGAGTTTTGCCAGTTTGTAGGCCGCACTGGTCGGAACTCTCAGGCGCACGGATCTTCCTCTTCACTGCTCGCCGCTTATTTTCGGAACTCTCACTTCAGAGAGATCCGAGTGCAGGAGTTTCAGAACCCCTTCCAGTTCAGCAGCATCAACGGATTCTTCTAATCCCACGAGCATGATCGAGGTCATGGCTACTGGGCGACGCACTTTAGCTCTGTCGCCGAGTCTCTCCTTCAGGATCCCTGCAAGAAGATCGGCTTTCTCGCGATTGCCGATCTCTCCGGCCTTGGTCCTTCGGGAGCCAGTGACTTCCACACCTATCTCCTGCAGGTTTACCACCTCCTTGGCACTCTTGAGGAGGTCGATCATCGACGCTCCTTCCTGAGTGGTCCCTAGGATGATCGCCTGTTTCCTCGGTGGTCGCCGTGGGAGCACGGGTTTCTTCTTCTCATGATTGGGTTCAGCTCCTTTGCACGGGTGGGTGGTGGAGACTGTCTTCCCTTTCCTTCTGACCACAGCCGCCCAGGTGTTCTCTTTTCCCGGTGCCTGCGCCCGAGGTGCCACCTCCAGCGGGGCAGCCGACTGAGGAGCTACGGCTTGTGGGATAGCGTCCAAAGAAGACACCTGGCCTTCCGCTATCTCCTTCTTCCTCTTCTTTTTCTTCTTCTTCGGCTTCTCCGTCACCGCGGGTTCGATCACCGAAGGGTCCTCCGCAGTTTGCGTTCCTGCCTCTTTGGTCGACCTCTTGGTTGGAGCCGCGACATCAGGAGCTCGTGGCCCGACTCTTCTATCAGATGAGGGCTGGTGGTCCCCAACGCCCGACGCCGACGGCCCTACTCTTTTTTCCTTCTCCAGTATCGCTTCAAGTTTCCTTGTTGCTTCCTGGAACTCTCTTTGGACACCCATGCCCCTCCGTTTGTCGATGACACAAAGGAGTACTTTGACTTGGTCGGCGACTCATTGACCATAGTCGCACTCGCAGTCATTTCCTCCGCTGTGTCATTCCTACGTTTCCTGCGGGGTTCGGCTGAGCTCCTTAGCTCAGTCAGAGCCTGGCAAGACAGGGATATCTGCTCTAAGAGGAATGCAAGATGCGTGTCTGGCAACTCTTTCATGAGGCTCCCCTCGACCTCCGCGGTTCTGGCAAGAGCAACGACGTGGTTGAGGCCGACGTCGAACGTGGCCTCGTCGTTGCTCTCGTCATCCCGCAACGAAGCCCTCCTCTTCCCAGGATGGCGCTTTGGAGGCGTCTCCTCCCTGAGGGGGCTGAGTGCCGGAGACTTTTCACGGCGTAGAGCAGACGTGCCTTCTTCTCCCAGAGATGGCTCCGCCTCCTTCCCGCCTGGTCCGTCCCCGGTCCGCATAGCTTCATCTTCCTCGTCTTGAGCGACGACGGCAGAAGACGAAGAAGAGCCTTTTCTTTGGCACACTACGCTGTCCCCCTCCGCTTGGCGGCGCTTATACTCATATAGCTCGGTTGCTTGTCGCAGACCGTATCCCATTAACTCCATCATCTTATTGCCTTTATAGCGGGAAAGCAATTCGGCGGCGACCAGTCGGGCCACGTTATTGACCCGATCCGCCGCACCCTCCCCTCGACGAATGGAGATACAGCTATCCATGACGGCAACTCTCTCCTCTTCATCTTCGACGTCTTCAAGGGGATTATACTCCACTTCCTTCTCCGGTGCAAATACTCCGCCATTAGCAAGTTCCTTCTCCATCATTCCCAACACCATCGACAAAGAACTTCGGAAGCCTTCCAAGCTTCTTGGTCTCCTGCGTGGGAAGCAATGCTCCGTGCCTTCTTCGCTGATCATGCATTGGCGCAAGTTCATCCAGCAGTTGTATTCTGACTGCGTCAGCGGTATTCCATCGCAGAAGCGATCTCGAATATCCGCCCATTCCTCAATCATCTCCGCCGAGATTATCAACCCTCCAACAGTAGCCTCAGTGACCCGAAGGTCACTGGAGGATGCCTGCTTGGCACATCCTCCGACAGTAGCTTGGGCGCGAACGCCCCCTGGACCCTGCCTCACCAGCCCAACAGTTATGGTACAGTCGCTAGATGACGACCGGTTTGGGCCTGTAGAGACACCTTCCCCAGCCGGTCCTGGAGTATCCGGCCCTCCTGGAAGCTTAACTTCTGTAACTACTGTCTTCCTCTCCATGGTTGATTTTTTGGGGTAAATTCTAACCCTTGCGACATACGTGTCGCCATTTGATTTTGGTGTTACCTTCACCTAGGTGGTCGCCTTACCAGGCTATCGGGCCCACCTGCCCGTTTCCCTCGAACGCTACCGCTTATTCGTCCACTCTAGGAGTGGCTTATATCACGGCTACCCTGCATATCTGCAGGGTTAACGAGCGAATGAGGGGCTCGCTGTCCGCGACCGCTTATTCGTCAGTCCAAATGAATGGACCGCTTATTTCGCGGCTAACCTGCATATCTGCAGGCCGTTCCTCTATCCGCAACCTGAGGACGCGCCCGATTCCCCGAGCTAGGGACACTGCGTTCGTGCCGACGTTTCGTAGAGCCCGATCACGTCGACACTGTAGCGCAGCGCAACGGGCCCGTTGTGTGACCTATATTATATAAATCTTAAATTAATTCCATTATATGAGTAAATTGTATAAGTATTTTATCATTACATTATTTTAG